CCTAACAACAACAAACATTGACCACCGGGTGATAATTGTTGGTCAATGTTTGTTGTTGTTAGGCTTTTTTAATGGCACCCATTGTAGTGTGGTTACTTAGCAGTTTAGCTGTACTACAGTTGTTCTTAGTTTTCTATAGGTTTTCAAAACATTTTGAAATGTCTTCCTTTAAGCTATCCCTTATGCATTTGTGAGAAGAGTCCTGAGAAAAGTAGTGCTAATGAAAATCAGAGGATGTTAGGGACAACTCTGTAGATCTGTGCAGGCCTGTGGCCCATTGAAGTCAGAGTTCTGTGCGGGTACCATGTTCCACCCCAGAGTTGGCTGTGTTTCATAGGTAAGTGAGAGTGATCCTTGTATTTCTATAGATATACACATCTGTAAAGCATTAGCTGATTCTCTTGGTGAAAAGAGCTATATAGTAAGGTACTTGCTCTCTGTGACCCATAAGGTACCTCATATTCAAATGTGCTCCCAATATTTTGCTTAATTGGTTTTGTGGAATTTGACAGTGCAAATATCGCTGATGGGATTGCTCTGAAAATCTATCTTAAGTCAAATAGCCCACCTACACAGAGGTAAATAATTATTTCTTTAGATAACCACATCACACAATATGTCAGAATCATTATTTCATGTTCATAGATAACTTCAGCACTTTGAGGCAGCTAGCCTTGCAAATGAAGAAAATAAAGAATATGTAATCTTGATTTTTCTAATGGCATTCTATTCAAGTTCACCCTGAAAAGTGACTATGTAAATCTGGAAACTTCTTTTTCAACAGACCTGATTCTTATATGTATTCAGAGCCTTATCTGCTTACTCTAATAGCAAAAATAAACCTTCATTACTTCAGTATTTACTTCAGTTAGCGCTACAGAGCTGGCGCCATTAAGATACAGACTCCTACTCATTCTTCCATCTTGTACAACATCAACAGAACTGTAAACTAAGTTCCAATTGCTTTCAGGTGGATTAACTTTTTGAAGGCAATAGAGATGCATCAATTCAACTGGGGAACAGTGGATTCCTGTGGTGTAATTAATAGCCTAAATTGACCTACAGCTCGTTTATTACTAGTGATAAACAAGAAGGAAAGAATTAGAATCCAGCTTGAGATTGTAGTGCCAACACATAGGAGAAATTGAGCACATTTTATATGGAAATAATTGAGATAACTATGTTTTATAGACTCCCTGTTAGGAGTAGAACAGTACTTTTAGGGCAAGGAATATTTACATGGGTATTTTCACACACACAATGGAACCTAGATAGGCACAAAGGCGATTGCTAAGAAATAGCATGAGTAGAGCTGCAGGAAATTTTTGGTTGAAATGTTATTTTCACTGAAATGCAGATTTGGGTCAACTAAAACATTTGGCAAATTTGGGTTGAGTTTGTTGAAGTGTTTAAGTTAGGGGGGAAAACAGAAAACATTTGAAATGTTTCATTTTCACATGATCATAATAAAATGTTTCAGTTTTTCAATTTGAAATGACTTTTCACTTCAAAAATTTCTTCGATTTTTATTTTTTTAAAACATCTAAAAACCTCAAAAAAATTATCATATTTTACTTTTCAGTTTGCTGAAAACTGGTTGTTTTGGGTCAACCCCATATGATTTTTTTGCTATTTATTTTGCATAGCCCAATGAATTAAAAAAGTCTGTTATTTGCATAATGCTAGGCATAAGAAAACCTATAGTGGTTGCCATTTAAAAATTCAGCATTTGCTACAGTTCTCTCTGAGGTATCTGAAATAATAATTTTCCTTAGAATAACAAATCATTGTAATTGAGGGTATGTGCTAATTGCAATCTAAGCCCAGGTTTAGTGGGACTCAAACTGTTTTAGGGAACCCTGGGCTTGAGCATCTACCTTGTATTTTAACTCTATGGGCTTGTCCACACTGGGGCAGGGGATCAACCTAGGAAATGCAACTTCAGCTACGAGAATAGCGTAGCTGAAGTTGACATTTCCTAGTTCAAACTAAGTTTTACTTACTGCAGGTCCACGTGGCGCAGGCAAGCTCCCCTGTCGACAGCACTTCCTCCTCTCGGCGAGCAGGAGTTCCGCAGTCGACGGGGGAGCGCTTCTGGGATCGATCTCTACCCGCCGAATCGGGCGGGTAGTGTGGACCTAGCCTGTGTTAACACTTTTCTAACCTGTGCTAAAACCTAGGGCTCTGGCATCCACATTGCAGTGCACAACAGACCTGAATCAAAGTAACCATATCTCAGGGTCCCTATCATGCACCCTCCCCAACATATGGTAACTCTAGCCCTAGGGCCGTGGTGCACTGTGGGAAAACTTTACTCCTTGCTCTGCACATTAGCAGGAAGTAGCTTGCTTTGCAAAAGGCTTAATTATTTCACTCTCCATTCCAAACCCAGGAGGCCTTGGATTATGAAATGAAAGCTGGCACAAGTGTGTTAGTTGTGCTTTCCGCATCCTGTGTGCTTGCTTTTTAGCTAGTAATTGCTGGAGATGACCTGTGAAATCCTGTTACTTTCCCCATTTTTCTTTGAATATCAGCCAATATTATGGTAGTCATGAAGAAGAGATAAACTGTAATTCCAGATGATGCTATTACATAAAGTTGTCAGTGGTTATTAATTTATAGTTCACTAGTAAGGCAAATGGAAAGGCCAGATAAGCTTCATTTCCTTTGGCATATTGTGTTTTTTTCCC